CAGAAATCTTTCAATAATTCACATTGCTGATTCTATTCTTCATAAAATTTAACTATCTGTTCTCACAGAGATAAAATTTTGGTTAACACCTGTCCTGGCAGTAGCCAATGCACTTTAGAATGATATGGCAAATCCACGCTGAATACCTCATTGTTTAACTTTAGCCTGTTATGAAACTGACAATGCATTTGCACTAATACAGTTAACAATACTTGTTATAAAGTCTAACTTAAAATAGTAGCTTTAGCACAGAGATTTTGCTGATGCAGGATACAATGAAAAGAAATGAGAGCGTCTGGATCTGTTAATACTTTTTTCATCTGTGCAATAAACCCTTCATGTTTTCCTGTCACAGAAGGTGCACTGTCTGTACACACTTACTAAATTTACCAAATTCAGTCCAACTTCACAATACATATCTTGAAAGTCGTTGAATATATCTATTCCCTGTGTTCTGTTCACAAGAGTGCCCAAAGCAAGTAACTCTTTGTATAGCAAAGGAAATCTTCTCTTATGACGCAAATGAAATATAAAACCTGTGCCAAGTCAGTAGTATCAGTTGACTCATCCAAAGCAAATGAATAATATATATTTTCCTTTTGAAGTATTACGTGAAGTCGCTATGTTAAGTTGAAGGCTAATGAATGCTGCCTATCAGTTATGGGTCTCCTTGAAAGAAGCAGTGGTTTGTACTTTGAAATGTCATCAGGGTCTAAACATTCTACAACTTTGACAATGCATTCTTTCACAATTTCTACATCATTGAATGGCTTCCCTTTTTTCCAGAGTTTATAAGCTACTTTATAAGTTGCTTTTGTGGCATTATTTCCAGGTCTTATTGCTGCTTGAAAGAATTGTCTTTGCTTTTTGCTTTTCATCTTTTAATTTCTGCAGTACAACCTTTCATGCCTCTTCTTCTGATTTAAAATATTTGTGGTCCTTATAAGTGTTATAATGCTGATGAACATTGAATTTCTTTAATGTTGATATTGCAGTATCACAAAGCAAGCAAATCCTCTTATCCTTAGCAGAAACAAGATAATATTGCAATTCCCAATCCTCATTAAAAAATCTGTTTTCTTCCTTCTGTGTTCTCTTGGTATTCTTTGACATGATGGGCTGTTAAGCAGACAGCATTAAGAAATACTGTCAAGCTGTGCAACTATTCACAAATTCCACTTAAAACAGAAACACAGTGCACTGTTGTCAAAAGCTGATAACAGACTGGCGTACTCCACTTCCATAAATTCTCACCAACCAGCCTCGTGCAGTAATGGCGCCAGTCAGGTAGGGGAAGTTAGAACTAAATCATGAGCATAGCAGCCGTCAATTTAGCCCTTATGGCTTACTAATGTTTTAATTGTGCCAGTCAATCTGGGAGGATTATTTCATTGAAACTTATTTTATTCTTTGATATTTTAAATATGTTCATTTTAAAAATAAAATAAAAATACAAAAGATGAACAAAAATGTATTAATAAAAATAAAAGGATTTATTCTGTAAAATTTAGATTCAGTCACAAGGCCACACTTAAGGACCTAGAAGGCCACATGTGGCCTTAAGACAACAGGTTCCCCACCCCTGGTCTAGTTGCTGCCCAGCAGTTGTCATGGGATCTTCCTTTACTGCCATCTTAGAAGTTCTTCTTACTTGTGTTAGATTCACTGTTTACTGGATGCTACTTCTTCCTTTTTCTTGGTCTACTCTCTTGTTTTGGTGGAGCTCAAATTCTGATAACTTCTTTGGGAAAAGATACATGTTCTTTAGTTCATATTTCTGAAAAATAGCTTATTCAACCATCATCATCATCATGCCTAATTGATCATTTGGCTATGTATAAAATTCTAGATTGAAAATTATTTTCACTCACAATTTTATAGGCAATTTTCCATTGTCTCCTAGTTTCCAATACTGCTATTCAGACACCATTTTAAGATCTTTTTATTACTAGTAGTCTGAACTTTCCACAATATTATGCTTTGGCTAGGTCTTTTCCTCATTCATTATACCAAACCCCAAAAACATGGGTTTTTCTACTCTGGAAACTCAATTCTGAGAAATTTCAGTTGTTACTACATGGCTAATAATTTCCTCCCCATTATTTTCTCTGATCTCTCTTTTTGAAACTCCTATTTATCTGTTAAAGGGATGCTAGATTGATTTTCTGATTTTTTTTCTTTTCTCTCATTGTCTATCTCCTTGTGTTTTTGTTCTTCCTAGAAGAGATTCTCAACTTTACCTTTTAACCTTTCTACTTATTTTTTATGTTGACTATCACATTTTTAATACTTAAACTCCTTCTTATTCTCTGTTTCTTTTTATAATATCTTTTTCTTATATGTCTTTGAAGATATTAACAACTTTGCATCTTCATCTTTCATTGTCTCTGTTTCCTTGGAGTTTATTCAATTCATTTGGTACAGTTTTTCCCTTTAATGTGAGAAGCTTTTCCCCCATGTTTGTCAGTCTCCAGCTTTCTATCCAAAATAAGAATACGCTATTAAGATGATTGAAGCTCTGTGATCATGGGTGAGACTTACTGACTTGTGGCCTTCACTGCAGGGCAGTTAGTATCTTTGTGCTTTTGCCAAGAGTATTAATTTTTTCCAGAGAAGATCCTCCAGTCTCCTGACTGAAGAGTATGGGTATAAGACAATCTACAAGTATTTTAGAGCTGGATAAATGAAGGGATTCCATACAGAGTAATCCCTCTATGTTTAGTTTCATGACTCACTCTGTCTTTCTCTATGTCCAGTGTCTCTGAGTCCAGAATTTCTCTGGCTTACGCTGCTCATTCTCTTGTTGAGGTGGGAAAGGGATAGTTATCTGATTGCACTGAGGGGATATCATTTAGTAACCATTTCTCCTATTACTGAGTCTTTGAGGGTTCTACAGAGAAAATCTGCTTGCTTCTATTCTCTGAAGACTTTCAGGTTTGGCCTTCTTTCCCTCTGGGAAACTTTGCCTCCATCTGCTTTCTGTTTTCACATATTATGATATCTTCTCATTTCAGTGAAGATGGAGTTTTTGTATCTGTTTCTTGTTAGGTTGGAATGGTTTTGCAATATAGAGGGAGAAGACATGTCTTTACTGTCTTAAGATCAAGTCTAGTAGTAGCTCTTGATGAGCACATATTCTAGGTGAGGCTGAAAGAACAACTCTGTTCAAACAACTTTTGTCATGTGGGGTTTCCCAGCCAGTGAAACACCCCTATAGACTTAGAGATATATACTTGAGGAGACATGGACCTAAAGAATGACTTCTTGGGCTCATAGTTATCTTAGATAGGTCAGTTCTGGGTATAGGCTGACCTCAAAGCTCCAGAAATTCCCTGATTTGGCAGTTTGAGGAGGCCAATAACACTATTATTTTCCTTGCCTAAATTTGAAACCAATTAAAAGGAGTCAGAAAGAGATTAAAATGTCAGTTTTAATACTAATTAACGCTAGGTAGGTAGATGTGGGTTGGGTGTGTAGCAATGGGCTTCCTGATGCAATACTGCACTCTTCCATCATGAGGCCACCACCCTAATTCCAACCCCAGCTCCTTTGGGTATTCTCCTGGGACTGCTAGTGGGCAGTTTCAAAATTGCCCTTCTATTAAAGGTTCTGAAATGAGTCGGAATAGCACATTAATTAAATCAACTCCTAGACAATACTGAACCCAAAGCTGAAAATTTATTGCCTATTCTATTTCCCATCCCAGAGTATTGCTAGCTATCCCAACCAGTACAGCTCATCAGGCATTCTGCAATGAGATTAAATAACAATATTAACATACTTCAATAATGTCACCTGTAAAGATTTGCTCAAAAAATTAAATATATATCCTTTCCCCATTATAAATTTCCTGGGGAGAAATTAAAGTCTTAATAGTAAATTCTTTCATAAGTTAAAAATTTAAAGAAAGTTTATTACTTAAGTAATGTCCATTTTCTTTGTCTGATTATTCTCAGCCAGTCTTTGATGCCTGGCTGGAATCAAGATTCCCTTGGCAGCTTCAGCCCAGGTTGGCCATCCTTGTAATGTATGTGGTTCTTTCAGCACCTCATAAGTTACATTAGTTCTATACCCACTCCCTCGTGAGCTTCACTTTTTAAAGAAAGAATCCAAAGAGTTAATATGCAAGATTATCACAGCACTGGCTCCACACCCATTTAAAAAATAAACAAATAACAGGCCCTAGAAGGATTATTCCAGGCAAAATTATCTTCTCAGAGCCTGGTGCTTACTGTTGCCAAAGACCACAGCAGATAATGTGGACATCAGAGTGAAGGAATGTGAATGGAGAAAATCCTCATTTCGGTTCAACAAGACAGTTATTTACTGTCAAATTTTAATCTGAAGTTTGCTTGGTGAGCTCAGAGTCAGAACGAAGGGAATTCACTTCAGATAAACATGATTCCAGTGTTTGATGTCATCAGGCTGCGACCATCTCTACCAAAAGCTGCATGTGTTAGATTAGATACTTGAGTTAGCCTGACAAGTTCCATTCTTGTGGGAACATCTGTTTTATTTGACTTGAATTAGTGGGTGGTTGGCAGGATCCTTTCTAATCCTGAGAGTCTGTGAGTTACCTTTCTCTCTGCAATTTGAGAAAGAATAGAATTGTCACTACTACTTTCATTTATACACATGTGCTGTTTCAGAGCCTGGAGCCTTCTGAGACCTGATAGGGTGGAGTTGCTAAGCACGTAACAGCAGGCGTTTTGCCATCTGGCCTCTCTGATTTCACACAGCTTCCCAACGGGGGAAGCTTGAGTCAGTGTTTAGGTAGGTATAACTGCTCACAGTTCTGGCGTCATGGACTGTTGCTAAGAAATTCATTTCCTTGTGTCTCATTGAAAGAGAACCACTTAGGGCCAATACGAGATAAAGGCTGTCTTGCTTAGAACAATTTGGTTTTGGTCTTTCTTCAGAGAAAATAATAATAACATCCAAGTTAGAGGGCTTACGAATGGGCACTGAGCACTGACCTGTCATTGACTTTCTTCCTGTAGGATTCCCAAGAAGTACCTTTGACAACTCTTGTGAACTTTGTGGACATTACCCGGAAGCCAGAGCCTCCAAGGGGCCAACCCAGGATGGACTGGAAATTGCCATTCGACTTCTTCTTTCCCTTCAAAGTGGCATTCAGCAGAGGAATAGACTCTCAAAAAGGCTCAGTCCCTCCCATCCTTATCCTGTGCCTCTTACTACTTGGAGTTCTCAGTCTAGAGACTAAGTGAAGAAAAGACAATAATCACATTGCAGTTTTCCCTATGGGAACCTCTGAGGCAGCCTACTTATCTTGGCTAAACAGATCCTCACCTGCTTATGACCAGAGGAAAGCATTTAGGATAATAGAAGACCCAATTGAAGGAATCTTTGTATATGAAAGAAGGTACTTTAGAAAAGCAATAAAAATATTTTATTCATCATAGCTCTCTGCTTAGGGCTGTGCAGGCAACATTGTACAAATTAGGTTCTCTGTTTCTTAAGCCAAGAAGGCAAAGAGCTTTCCTCCAGCCCTTCTGGTTGTGTTATGCCTAACTTAAGGTTTGCAAGATCTTCATCCATCTGCCCTAGGCACAGTTGGGCCCAGGAGAAAGAGGAACACACTCCTACTGTCCTCTGGATTTAATAAGAACTGACTGTTTAGGACAGAAAACTTCTGGTTGTATATTTTGTCTGGTTCCTTTGCCAAAGTCTAACCACACCCTTTGCCCTGGCATGAGTGAGGAAAGCAGTTCTTTATACTCAGTTTCTAAAATAAATGTGGAATCCCAGCTCCCTTTTCTATTAGCAAATGACTCTGCCATTTATTGCTGCTCTTTCCTTTCCTCCATTGTGGTGATAAGAAACAAAACTGATGGAGATCTTTGTTGTACTAATTCCAGCAGCATGGCAGAGGTTCACTGACCTGTGATCTGCCTCTTGATTATTTTTCTATGTGCGTGAGGTTTTTTTAAAAAAAGAAAATTTTTGCAAATAGCACAATAGCCTTTAAATTGGGGTTCTTAGGTTCTTTTCCTGGGAGATACACTCTGAAGACCCCAATTTTGTGGCACTCACACTAGTGAGTTCAGCATAAAATCTATGTTTTTTAGCATAAGGCAATGGCAGTTTACAAAGGGCCCTGCCTACCCAGCCAATTCAGAGATTCTGGCTTGCAGAGAAAACTGCTTAAAATAGTAAGCATTCTTGAGTGGTGAGGAATTGGCTGGGAATTATGCTACAAAACCTGGAAAGTAAGGAAGCATAAAAAGGGTTTAGGCCTGGAGCAAAATTATGCTAGCCTTGTAATTAAGGCAAAATGTTGGCGCAAGATATGTCAAATCTAATTGTTTTAAACTCTAAATCCCTTTTACAGAGAATTGAATGTAAAAGAATAGGATGTAATATAATAACCCCAGTGAAACTCTTTGTGAAATGTGGAATTGTGAAGTACAGTCCCTCAGTGACCCGACAATTGAGTCGGAAAAGATTGACATGTGACACAGGAGACATACTTGTACAGAGAAGCAATCAATGTGGCCTAGACAGCGGCCAGTTTGGAGGAGGTGGTAGGATTGGAACTGACGTGGCAGCATGGGTGGGACTAGGAGAGTGGGTAGGAGGAGGAGGTGATCCCAGGAGCCTGGAACAACCTGAGTGAAGGCTCAGTGGTTGGCATGAAGTGGAGGGTTGGGAGGCTGAAGTAATTGTAGTAGAAACACTGAATGGGCAAAACAGAGCTAGGATCAGCAGGATGGCAGCTCTTTATGTGGGGACTTGAAAGCTAGCCAGAGAGAATTGGAGATAGGGGTTTTCCCCCACAGTATATTAATGCTCTGAAATTAAAATCGCCGTTTAATAAACCATAGGCTTTGTTATAAATCCTCCTTTATGAGCAGAAAATGCTCATTGTAAACACCATCTCTGACTGGTTTTATCATTTTGTCCCATTCCAAAGTACCTGGAAAGTAACCAATTTCTGTGGAAGAAAGTGGCAAAGTTCTTGGAGCAGTTACTACTAAACTAGAGGAAGTGCTTCTGGAGATTCTGTACCAAGGGAGATTCTGCACAAGGGGAGTCTTTGGAGGTGGGAGCTGATGGCACAGTTCCCACTAGAGTCCATTGCATAGAAATTATTTAATTCAGCAACCCTGCCTCTCAGGAGACCTGTAGTAAAACTGACCACAAAGGTATTAGAGTATTTAGGTTCTCCAGGTTTGGGCTTCTTAAAGGGAAATAATTTTATGTGACAACTCATCCTCAGCTGCCAGGTAGCATATATTCAATACACTTGAAACAGACTACGAGTCCTTTTCAGAACCTGGTCCCTCCGCTCTTTATTCAGATCCTTATTCCTACGCCTAAGTGCTATGAAACTATTCTGTGCCTTTAAAAAAATGATATCTCAAATAGAATTCACATACCGTAAAATTCGCCCTTTTCAAGTGTACAGTTCAGTGGTTTCAAGTATATTCACAGATATACAACCATCACAGCACGTTTTCACCATCCTAAAAGGAAACCCCAAACCCATTAGCAGTCACTTCCCATTTCCCCTCCCTCTCACGTTCCTAGCAGTCACTAATAATCCTTCCTGTCTCCATAGAATTGCCTGTTCTCAGCATCTCATATAAATGAAATCATACAATATGTAGCCTTCTGTGTCTGGCTTCTTTTACTTACCACAGGTGTTCAAGATTCATCTATTGTAGCATGTATCAGTACTTTGCTCCTATTTATGGTTGAGTAATATTATATGGATATACCACATTTTATGTATCCATTTCTCAGTTGATGGACATATGGGTTGTTTCTACTTTTTTGGCTGTTATGAAAAATGCTGTTAAGAACATTCATGTAAAAGTTTTTGTGTGGATGTATGTTTTCATTTCTCTTGAGTATATACATAGGAGTGGCTTTTATGGATCATATGGTAACTCTTGGTTTAATTTATTGAGGAAGTGCCAGACTACTTTCCAAAGTGGCTGCACCAGTTTACAGTTCCACCAGCTGTATATGAAGGTTCCAGTTACCCCACATCCTGGCCAACATTTGTTATTATCTTTTTTATTTTAGCCATCCTGATGGATGTGAAGTGGTATCTCATTATGATCACTGTGCTTTTTAAAACTATAGCATAGAGAGACCTTATACCGGAAATCAGCACATCCGTTCTTCCAAAGCAGGAATACCTCAACTGTTCTTTTCCTCTCTACCCCTGCTAATTAGCTCATAAGCCTAGTTTCCAATTACAAGGCTCTTTAACATACCTTAGATAAGACTGTATGGTCATCTTGTCTCTAGTCACTTTTCTTATAATAGATCTTCAAAATGATTATCTTTTTCATTTGAATGACTGGTAGACATTAGTTTCTCTACTTAGTTTTCTCTGACATTTTAAAAACCATCTATAGAATAATCCAGTCTTCTTGGTTCCATCCCTTTTTCTACAGGTAAATTATCAGCCATTTGACTTATATAAAAATCTCTATTGTAGGCCGGGCACGGTGGCTCACGCCTGTAATCCTAGCTCTCTGAGAGGCTGAGGCGGGCGGATTGTTTGAGCTCAGGAGTTCGAAACCAGCCTGAGCAAGAGCGAGACCCCATCTCTACTAAAAATAGAAAGAAATTAATTGGACAACTAAAAATATATAGAGAAATTAGCCGGGCCTGGTGGCGCATGCCTGTAGTCCCAGCTACTCGGGAGGCTGAGGCAGGAGGATCGCTTGAGCCCAGGAGTTTGAGGTTGCTGTGAGCTAGGCTGATGCCACGGCACTCACTTTAGCCCGGGTAAAAGAGTGAGACTCTGTCTCAAAAAAAAAAACAAAATTTCTATTGTAATCATGTATTCAAATTTAAGGAGCAAGTTTTATGGTGAAGGGGTGTGAGCAAAAATTCAAACTGTGTTTTTCCTCTGCTGTCACATCACAACAATCAACACAGAAAACTTCTGTGACCAAACGTGAGGTTGGGGGGTGTTTCTACCAGCTGGTATCTTTCAATTCAATTCTGACACTAAGTACCTGGAGATAGCCCCAAATCCCACAGGTTGAGGGCTCAGTCTCCAGGACTGCCCCCTCCCCACCAGTCACAAGTCCAGGCCTCTAGAACTTCTGAATGACTGGCTTCAAGTTGGGGTTCACATGACCCCTCTCTTTGAGTTTGATTAATTTGCTAGAGCAGCTCACAGAACTCAGGAAAACTTATGTTTACCAGTCTATTACAGAGGATATGTTAAAGGATACAAATAAACAGCCTGATGAAGAGATTCACAGGGCAAGGTCTAGAAGGATCTTGAGCACAGGAACTTCTGTCCCTGAGAAATTGGGGTGCACCACCCTCCTGGCACATGGATGAGTTCTTGTTCACCTTCCTGTAAGCCTCCATGTGTTCAGCCTTCTAACCCTCTCCAAACCTGTCCTCTTGGGCCTTTTATGGAGACTTCATTGGACAGGTGTGATTAAAGCATGGACAACCATGTTAAAATGTGATTGGCCAAAAAGAGTATGATCTAAAACTAATAGACTGAGTGGGGAAACCCAGCAAGGCCTGTCTGTTTAGATTCTTCTTGGCCTCTCTGTGCAGTATTCCTTCCTTTGGGTATGGGGCAGGATGATCTTATGACCCACAATCATATTAGAGACCTGCCTTGGGCAGGACGAGGTCAGAGAAATTCTGTTTTCCTGAGGCCTGCTTCTGGGGCCTAAAGAGCCCCAACATTATAATAAAAGACTATAACAAGGGCTATTGGAGTTATGAGCCAGGAACCATGGATGAAAATATATATATCATAATATCACAGGCCACCCCTGGTTTTCGAACATGGATCCTTTACATCAAAAGGATATACAACTCAAAAATACTGCCACATCACTAGAATCCTAATCAGTCATTAATAATTCATCCAATCCATCATATTATATGAAGATGTCTCCCAGGGTGAGGCCACTCAGGTTTGCAGGCTTCCATTGGATCTTGTTAGGTTCCAAAAGGAGGAGTGTTCTTCATCTTTTCAGGCATCTGGTATAATTGAGCTAAGAGACAATGTCATCATCTCTTGCTCTGAGCCTCTTTTGAGGTATTAATGTAATACTGGATTTCCCTCAATTTATAACTAATGTATTCATTCCTTTACCCTCATATACCCTAATACTATTCCTCCTTTTCTCCATTAATAACCTTTGGAAGGGACATTAGAATTGCTAGTGTGCTGGTCTAGGTTGCAGGCAGCAATATTAGTCCAGCAAGTACCTCCTCGCCGGTCCATTCCCATTCAGATAAGGTAAGGTTACGTAGGTGCTGACCTAGTGAGCCATTTTTACTACTAGGCAATATACCTGCATTCCCCATTAATCCCAATTTTGCACAACTCACCTCCATCAGGCCCCTAGGAATTCTGGCATAAGCTTTTGAAATACAGTTTCTTGCTTAGGAATCATCCCT